GTTGTGAAGGTAAGGAGGCTACAAGATAGAACAAGATAGAAGAGCATCACCACAACGGCCTCTCTTGTAGCCTAGGCAGCCTCTCTCCCTGTGGTTCATTGGCAGGAGCCAGTCTGAACTTCCTGAATCGTTAGGTATTAGATCAGTGAATCAGCATTCTGGATTCAGAATTGTAACGTACAGTCTTAGGGGAGTAAAAGGAAAACACACCCCACCCCACCCCACCCTTCCTTTCCTTCCAGCCCCTTGTTGTTCAGTCGTGTGTGTCCAACTCTTCGTGACCCCATTTGGGGTTTTTTTGGCAGAGATGCTGGAGTAGTTTGCCAATTCCTTCTCTAGCTCATTTGACAGATGAGGAAACTGAGGCAAACTGGGTGAAGTGACTTGCCCAAGGTCACACAGCTGGTAAGTGTCTGAGGGGAGATTTGAACTCACCAAAATGAGGCTTCTTGACCCCAGACCCGGTGCTTTATCCACTGTTCCACTCCCTTAGGAGAATATAAGCCAAGTATTAGCTATTTCAGGGGGCGGGGTTCAATGGGGGTAGGAATTAGATGGCTTATTCTGACCCTTGACCATGATTCTCTAACCCTGGAAACCCTTTTATCTTGAGGAGGGAGTGCATTCTAGGAATGGGGAAATGATCTGCTCAAAAGGTTGAAATAGGGGATGGAAAGCCATGTGAGGGAAGGCCAGTTTGGCCAGAATGGAGAGTGAGGGAAGGGGTCTGGCTACAGGGAAGCTGGAAAGCTAGATTGGAACCAGGTTGATATGGGATTCAAAAGCCCAAAAGAGGAATTTCTTTATGGTCCTACAATTAAGAGGGAGTCACCCACATTTATTGAATAGAGGAATGATGTGGTTGGACCTCCACTTAAAGGAAATCTTTTTGGTAGCTGTGTGAAAGATGGGTTGGAGGGGAGAGGCTGATGTAGAGAGTTCAGTTAGGAGGCTGTGATAGTAGTGTAGGTGAAAAGTGATTAAGGGCTGAACGAAGGTGGGGCTGTGTACGTGGAGACCAGGTCCCATGCCAGTGACATTGTGGAGGGAGAAACAGCAGGATGTGACAGCTGTTTGGGCCTGCAGGGCGAAGGAGAATGAAGAGTCCAAGATAGTCAAGATTGAAATCTGAGTTTGTAGAAAAATGGCGGTACCCTTGACAAAAATGGGAAAGCGTAGTGGAAGAGTATGTTTGCAGGGAAACAGTCTTTGGTGGGTTACTTTGAGATGCACATCTCTGTGCACATCATTGGAAAGTTCAGGTTGGCATCAGAAACTAAAGCAGATTGAACCACCCCAACCTTCAGTGTTTCTGTAATTTTTCAAACAAGGGAACAGGCATTAATATTTTCCCTCTAATAGTCTCTTGTGAACACATTCACCCACACTTATCTAACCAGTATGTGTTATAACCATATAACCAATATATTCCATCCAAAGCATTGAAGGAGTTTGTACTGTTAACATCTTTTCCAAGGAAATCATAACAAAGTGACTTCTAATGCTGTTCACCACCACAGCCCTCATGGCATGCGACAGCCACTTCCCCCATTTCTTTAGAAAGATCTTTAGCATTATACTCATATTAGCACACATCATAGTTAGACTTCTGCTACCCAGAAAAGGGCCCCGGTTTTCCCAGGTCAGAAAATACCTTTGTGATAGGGTCGGGCCAAAGAAGAACTTTACACTCCCTGGCCCCCTGTGTCTCTGATGGGTGCGTTAAGTAGAATGGAATATAGCATTGATATGTCTCCGGAGACTTTGGTTGGAAAGGGCAATCCACTTATATTTAGGGGAGTGTCAGACTATGATGAATATTCCCCAAGATTTCCCTTGCTTTCTTTCAGATCTCCAAGTTCTGAGATGCTAATCAGCCCGCTCTCCTTTTCTGTTCACCATTCTGGTCTAGTGCAGAGAGTAACGCATGAGTGATTTAGCCTCGTATTCCTAAATCCAGAATAGGCCCGTTTTCTCCTGAGTTTAGCTTATCATTATCCTCATTATCCTAATTCAATGTTTATTAAATGTCTGCCAAATGCCAGACCCTGTGCTTGGAAAGAGTATCCTGAGATGACCCTCCCAGAAGCACAGACTTTGAGAGCTCCAACCACCAAAGGAATCCTCACTCTGGAATATCCAAGAAGTGGTCATCTAGATTCTCCTGAAAGGTCCCCTAGGACAAGGAACCCACCCCCTTTGGAGGCCATCCATTCTACTTTCCTATGACTCTTAGATTCTCAGATACATCCACACATAGGAGTAGGACAAGGATGGTTATTCTGCAGAGGAAATGAAGAAAGATAGGAGGAGAATAGAAGAAAGCAGGGTCACAAAAATCCAGGAAGAAGGAAGAAACAGCACCTACCAAACTGCACAGCACACAATAGGTGCTTAATAATTGTTGACTTGACTTGAATCTTCATGGCCAAAAGAAATCATTCCCTGGTGGTCAGCTCTCTGATGATGAGTCTCTGACATTTAGCTCCTTCAGGAATGCAGATGTCAAAGATATCATGGGTTCCCCTGCTTTGCATCTTGGTAGGAGCCCCCTTTGCTCTCCTTTGAGAACCCAAGGTCATCATCTCATCCCAATGAAGCACCAGAGTGGAGCTGCAGTGGGAAAAGAAATTATGAAGAGAAAACAAACCAGGCTTTTGTTTCTAGAGATAAATTAAAATGAGAGGCAGTATGGTGGAGCAGAGAGAAAGAGGGCCGGTCTCAGAGTCCAATTTCAAGCCCTGCCTGTGGCATATAGAAGGGGTTTGACCCTGGACAAGTCATTTTTTTAAAGAAGGTTTAAAAATAGTATGCTTCAATCTGTATTCAGACACCATCAGTTCTTTCTCTGGGAATGAATAGTATTTTTCATCATAATGGACGAGTCATTTTGAACCAGTCAGTGCCTTGGGCAATTTTCTAAGACTGTCATCTTCAGAGTAGTTATAGATCTGCATTGGCCGAGGGAGTTTTCTCCCTGGAACTCCTTACATCAGTGAAATCACGGTTCTAGGCACACGTCAGTTTCCTCATCTATAAAGTGGAGAGGTTGAGAGAGCTGGCCTCTGTCAGCACACTCTATGTGGTCCTATTAAATTTGTGCACAGACAACCAAGCCATGGCAGAAGATGCTAAGTCCGATAAGAGAGAAAAGTATTTATGGAAGGAACAAGAGAGAAAGAACATTCCCAGGGGGAGAAATGGAAGGAAACACCTTTTATTTGGGCCTCAGAGGATGGCTGAGATTTGATTGATGGAAATGAAGAAAGGATACTCTAGGAAGCAAGACTTATGTGAGCAAGGCCAGAAAGCACCAGGAATATATGGGGAGCGATGAATTGCTTACTTAGACTAGTCTCCATAGTGTCTGGAGGGGGACGGTGGGAAATAAAGCTGGGACCACTCAGCCAACAAGCATGTCTGAAACGCTGTATGCTGCTAGGTGCTGTGTTAAGGACTGGAGACAAGCCTGCCCACAGGGAGCTCACGTTTTATTGGGGAAGATGGTGTGAGAATTACTGGGTGTATATAGGATACGTGCATGGAAATGGGAGGTCATTTCAGAGGGCAGGATTGAGGGGGAGGGAAAGGCTTCTGAAGGACATGGGATTTGAACTGGCTCAAAGAAGGCCAGGAAAGCCAGGAGGCAGAGGTGAGAAGGAAGAACATTAAGTTTTCCAGTACTTTGAAACAAAAACTGTTATAAGTATTTTTGTACCTGTAGTACTAAAAATACCTGTAGGTACCTGTGATACTATAGATGTCTGTAGTACTAGAAACACCTATAGGTACCTACCTATAGTGCTATAGGTCCCCGTAGTCCTATAAATACCTATAGGTACCTGTGATACTATAGACGTCTGTAGCACTAGAAATACCTATAGGTACCTATGGTTCTGTAGATACCCGTAGTAGTATAAATACCTGTAGATCCTTTCCCTCCTTCTTTGATCTCTTTGATCTTTGATATTAGTGGTATCGCTAGATTAAAGGGTATGCACAGGGTAGTTACTTTGGGCATCTACTTCTAAATTGCTTCCCAGAAAGACTATATTAATTCACAGCTCCACCCACAAATAGGGAATTAATATGCCTGCTTTTCCATAGTCCCACCAACAGTTACCATTTTGTCTCCTCTTTGCTTTGGTTCCTCTTCTGAAGGCAGTGGGGTACTGTTGAAGGTTTTGGGACAGGGGAATGACGCGGTCAGAGGTTGAAAATAGAATCTTAACTCTTCCCTGCACCGTGCGGAGTGCTTGGGGATCCGTGGGATTATCAGAGCAGGATCACCTTTTCCGGGGTCTCGTTTGGAAGTAGGGGTTAAATTGAAAGCCCCCTTATAAATGCTTTGGAGCGCAGAAAGCATTTGCACAGGGTGCCTTGGGGCTTCATTGTCTGACCTTTTAGTGATGCATTCATGGAATACAACCAACGTAAGATCTTGGCATGAGGAAGCTTTATCTATTTGCTTCCATGACTACATTGGCCTGTCCCCTCCCCTTACTTCCTTCCCCAAGTATTGACACATGGGTGGGGGGCCTGCTTCTGAAAAGCGTAGGCCTATTTTGTTACATGCATCTCCATGCAGGAGAGTGGGTGGAACCTGTCTTACCCAAACCACATCTTTTTTTTAAAAAAAATGCTGTCTTTAAGCAACTCGAGCTTTTCCCTGGTTGAGATTCACCCCCCCCACCCTCCCCCGGCATACATCCTGAGCTTGTACTCTGAGTAGGGAGGTAAGTGCGTGAAATCAAGTGGTGATTGCTAACAATGAAATTTTGGCTCATAAAATCAAGGATATTATTCAAAACTGCAAGATAAATTAGGCTCATTCATTCTGATGGGGCTAGACTCTATGGCAGTGTGTGCTTTCCTTAATTAACACGCTGAAAAGATGGTCTGATTGAGATTATTAATGGATGCAGTGAAATTTCTGCTGCTTACACGGCTTCTGCCGCGCAGTTTACAGAAATGCTTTTCTTTTTTTTCCCCCTGCACAGATTCCTTACATGGCTTGACAGATGGAGTATTCATCTTTGAAGATGTTTCCACAGAAGAGAACAAAGCCACACAGGGCTATGATGCCATTGTTGTCGAACAATGGACCGTCCTAGAAGTGAGTGGGTCATTTATGGTTTCTCTTCCTTTGTTTGTCTGTCCCTGGATTCTGTTATACAATTTTCCTAAAGCTCTTATGGAAGCCAATCTTATAGCTGTTTGTTAGCTGTGTTATTCATGTGAAAAAGCCTGGGTGTCGGTGGCCCTTCAGACAGCCCTTTCCACCCATCTACTCTCTTCTTTCTCACCTACCCCTTTGATGTTAATGGTCCTGAATTTACTCTTTCTGTATAAGAAAGCTACATATGACTCCAACAACCAATCAGCAAGTATCTATTATGCACCAGTTATGTGCCAGGGGGGAGTAGCACAGTAGAAAGAGTGGAAGACCTGAGTTTGAGCCCCAACCTTCAGTATGTGCAGATTGTGTGACCCTGGGCAAGACATTTAACTTCTCAGGGCTCCAGATGTCTCTGTAAGACTCTACATTACAGAAAAGTAGTGCATTAGTAGAGAGAATTTCCTCACCCAGGAGCTACCTATACCAATGAAATCCTGATCTCTATGTGCTGGACACTGTGCTGGGCTCTGACGTTATAAAGACAAAAATAAAACAACCCCTGCCCTGCTGTGAATGTTTTCTGCCTTTCATGTTCTTCCTTTACACTTCCTAAACATTTAAGAAGTCTTAATTGACAGATAAATTTATCCTATGAAAGACAGTGAGATGAGTGGACACAGAGCCAGCCAGAGTCAGGAAGTCCTTTCTGTGACACGTCCAGGGTTTGTGAACGTGGGTCAGGACCCCGAAGCAATTTGTGTCCATTTTACAGATGGAGAAACTGATGCTTGGAAAGGCAGAGTGGATACCAGGTGGTCAGCACTTAGTAAGGGGCAGAAGAGGGTGAGGATGTTGTCAGATTCTTCTTGTGTCCCACATTGCACCTACTCCAGAGTCAGCATTCATGGGATGAATAACTCCATGGTGGTACACACGCCAGACATAGAGGAAGATGGGTGTTGGAAATTTTGCTCCGTTTTGGTGGCTGCTGGCAGAGAAATCACACAAAGCCCCATCCCCTGTGAGTTTGGAAGTGGAGGATGTATATATAAACATTCCTGCTGTACTGTAAGGAAGCCTCTCTAATTTTAGAAATGCATGAGAGTTTTTAAGACCAAGGAGTGATAAACCAGTGATAAACCCAGCATCTGGTGTGTTTCCATGTGAAAACAGAAGTCATCTAGGCAGAGGTGCCTGTCCTAGGAAAGGCATAAAATCAGGCCCCAGGCCAGCAGCCAGGGACCATTCTGTTCCAGAATACACCAGTAAGTCCACCCCATGGAGCCAAGTGGGCACCACCCAATTAGGAAGGACCAGGCGTCCATCATAACCATTCAGAACAATAAGAGCTTAATTTTCCTGCATCCCCCCTTGAAACGAGAGGCAAATAGAGGCAGTGGTATGTAGTGGAAAGAGCCCTGGACCAGTGCCGACAGCTTAGGCAGTCCTGTCAGTCACTTACTCATGCTTGAGCCTCACTTTCCTCATCTGTAAAATGAGTACAAGGGAAAAAAATAATAAGGATTACAGCAATAGCTAATATTTATTTATGTAGCAATTTAGGGTGGCAAAGTACTTTATAAATATTTTTTCATTTGACCCTCAAAGCAATCCTGGGAGGTAGGTGCTATAATGATCCCCATTTCACAGTTGAGGAAACTGAGGCAGGTAGCAGTTACATGCCCAAAGTTGCAAAGTCATTGTCTGAGGCCAGATTTAAATTCATGTTTTCCTGACTCCAGGCCCAGAGCTTTGTGCATTGATATTGGAATTCATGTAATTATAAATAATTGCAAAGCAAGTTTAATTGATTGATGTTTAATATTCACTTTATAATTAATAGTGTTTTTTTTTTAAAGCTATAGCTCTTGGCAATCCTAGCCTTAACTTGGTTGTTTTGGGGAAAATACTTTGTAAACCTTAAAGCTGTATAAAAATGAGGGCAGCTGGGTGGAGTGCCAGGAAGACCTGAGTTCAAATCTGGTCTCAAGACCAGATGTAATGTAGCTATGTAATCCTGGGCAAATCACTTAACCCTGTTTGGCTCGGGTTCCCCATCTTTAAAATGGGGAGTAGATGGTGCAATGGAGGGAGCACCAAGACTGGAGTCAGGAAGACCTGAATTCAAATTTAGCTTCAGATACTTAGTAGCTGTGTGGCCCTGGGCAAGTCACTTCACCTTGTTTGCCTCAGTTTCCTCATCTGTAAAATGAGCTGGAGAAGGAAATGGCAAACCACTCCAGTGTCTTTGCCAAGAAGGCCACGAATGGGACCATGAAGAGTCAGACTTGCCTGAAATGAATGAACAAGAACAATAGTGCCTACCTCCCAGAGTTGTAAGGATCAAATGAATAAGGTGCTTAGCACAGTGCCTGGCACATATAAATATATATATACGTGTGTGTGTGTGTGTGTGTGTGTGTGTGTGTGTGTGTATATGTGTATATATATATATACACACACACATATATATACATATGTATAATAAAAATAAATGTTAGTTATTTTTAAATGAGTTGTCTTATTAGACTCCGTGCTTCATGAAGACAAGCCTCAGGTTTTACTGACACTTTTTCTCTTCCCTAGAATCTAAGATAGCATACAGTAGGTATCTAATAAACGGATAATTGAATGAATCCTAGAATCAGCAGGTAGATAGGTTTTTTGAGTCAGGGCTGACGCCAAAGCCTTGTTTAATGGCACCCGAGGGAGATGCTTGAGCCCAGCACCAAGTTGAGAAGTCAGGGAGGTGAAGGAAAGGGTGGATAAAGGGTGCTGGGCCATTAAAATCCATCATTTCAATGTTTTAAAGCAAAGCCAAACGTACTCCTTTCTTGAACTTTGTCAGTTGTCCTGGGAGCCAACTAGAGGAGATCATTCCCCCTTCATTCGTCATGGCGGCCGTTCCTTCCTCCTCCCTCCTCCTCCTCCTGCGCAGTTCTTCTCCTCATTCTCTTGAGAATCTGCCTAAGTGGGGGCCTTCTTGTCCTCGTGGTATTTCCCGGGGTGCCGGTGGGCCACTCGCCTCCTTCTTGGCCTGGCCTGTTCCATTGTCTCTGTGCCATCTTAAGGCAAGCACAGTGATACCCGAGTGTATGGGTCCCAGCCAGGCCGGGGGCGTACCATCCGAGCTGCCTAATGCTTCCCTTAACGGCCAGTAGGGGAGAGCTTGGCGGTTTGCTGAAGGAAGGTGGCTTGATGCAACAGCTGTGATCCCATAATAGTACAGTGTAGGGGCTGTTCTCGCCAGATCCTCTGGTTCTTCCCGTGGCCTCATGTCTTTAAGTGAAGACCCCATCCTCCCCATCCTCCCCATCCTCCCCATCCTTCCCATCCTTCCCATCCTTTGTCTGCCTTTAGCACTAGGCTGCGGTCACCTCCCCGGGGGTAACTGCTGAGGATCTGTGATCTCCTTCAGGACTGATGCAGCTTGGACACTGCCCACACCTGTGGATCTCATGAGACTCTCATTCTATCCACAGTTAGATTTTTCTTTGGGGGGAAAAAATATGTCAGGAGTTTAAAATGTGTATCCGGTTGTCATAGGAACGTGGTAGATAGACAGTAGGTTTTGAGGTTAAGGCATCCGAGGAGGGAGGGGAGGAAAACTTACTTTTGAAAACACAGAACTTTGTGGTTGTATAAAGCAGTCTGGTTTTGGCAGAGACCCCATGTGGCCTTCTCATGTTTTAAACTTTTGTCCTGTTAGGAAGGTTCAGAGATAGAAAAGTTCCTAAGATCGTAGGGCATTAGAGCTGGGAGGGACCCGGGACCCTCGCTATCCCCGTGAGGACCCTCTGCCTGAAGGCCGCTCAGGAGGAGTACGTCACCAGCTTTCCGGGCAGGCCGTTGCACTTTGGGAAGGCTCGGATTCTTAGCAAGTTCACCCCGACAGCAAGCCTAATTCTGGGTCTGCAGTTTCCGCCCGTTGTGCTTGGTTCTGCTGAGTGAGGCCAGACAGAACGAGCCTTATGCTCTTTCAGGTGACTTTCAGCCCCTAAGTATTTGAAGATAGCTCCATGCCCCCTAAAAGGCCTTCTCTTCACCAGCCTGAAGATTTCCACCTCCGTCGCTGAACAGATGAGGAAACTGAGTCACAGAGAGAGGGAGTAGCTTGTCAGGGGTACTGCAGATATAAGCAGTGGTCCAGATTGGACTTGAACCCAAGACTTCAGTCTCAATACTCTTTCCACACTCTTAATTTTATTGTCACTTGCTCATTTGTTTCAGTTGCGTGTGACTCATCGTGGCCCCATTTGGGGTTTTCTTGGCAGAGATGTTGAAGTGGTTTGTCACTTCCTTCCCCAGCTCATTTTACACGTGAGGAAACTGAAGCAAACAAGGTTAAGTGACTTGCCCAGAGTCACACAGCCAGCAAGTATCTGAGGCTAGATTTGAATTCGAGTCTTTCCAGACTCCAGGCCCAGTGCTGTGTGCACTATGGCAACACCTTGCTTGCCCATACACCATTTTTTCTTTTTGGTGAGGCCACTGGGGTTAAGTGACTTGCCCAGGGTCACACAGCTAGGTAAATGTTATGTGTCTGAGGCTGGATTTGAACTCAGGTCCTCCTGACTCCAGAGCCGGTGCTGTATCCACTGCACCACCTAGCTGCCCCTGCCCCTACACTCTTAATACTCACTATATAATACACTTCCCACCTCCTCTCTACTCTTTTCACTTTTTACACATTCCTTTGTCTTGGGTGATCCTATTATAGCAAACTTCACAGGAAACTATTACTTTATCTGACTTTTCACAGGAAGCCTTTGAAATAGCTGCTAGAGCTTGCTTTTCACACTTTATTTGATATTTAATATTTAACATTTTATTCTGTGCTGGGCTGTTGCTGACATTCATAGAGCATCAGAGTTGGAAAGAACCTAAGAGATTATCTTGCCCAACCCCCATTTTAGAGATGGGGAATCTGAGGCCGAAAGAGATCAAGTGACTTGCCGTGGGTGGCCCAGCAATGATCTGGCAGTGGCATTTTTCTA